CACACGTCCATGGTCATGGTGGGCACATCCAACCACAGCGACGCAATCATGTGCAGGTGCGTGTGCAGGTGTGTGTGTGTGTGTGTGTGTGTGTGTGTGTGTGTGTGTGTGTGTGTGTGTGTGTGTGTGTGTGTGTGTGTGTGTGTGTGTGTGTGTGTGTGTGTGTGTGTGTGTGTGCGGTGATGGTGGGGCGAACAGGAGGAAAGCAAAAGAGAGGGGGCAGCAGGAAGGTGAACACGCTTGCTGTGCTCACATGCCATACCCGTGCCTTGTGTGTGATGGTATCGTTGTGTCTTGTCGTTGTGTGTTGGTTGCATGCGCACCAGGGCCACATCAGAGGAGGGGAAAGCAGCCGCCATGAATGACCCATCATCATCATCAACCTTCCCCATTTCTCTCTTCTTCTTCTTCTTCTCTTCCAACTCAGCTCGGCCGCCGTCATCACCATCATCGCCATCATCGCCATCGACTGCACAGCCGCCATCACACTCCGGCCGACACCAGCCCCAATCTGGCGTGAGGCAAACATTGCACGTGTCAGTCGCTCTGACGAAGAGGTGAGCAATGTGCGTGTGTGTGTGTGCATGGTGGTGGGATGAGTGGGGACAACATGTGTGCGTGTGGTTGTGTGTCAATGCTTGTGGTTCGATGGGGCTGGCGTGTGGTTGATGATGCTTCGCTGTCAACCTCACCCCCTGCATTCCCTCCCTTCTTGTGTCTGTGCACACACACAATTCACAGCGTTGAGGAGGCACATGAAGCTGTGGAACCAACGACGATGACGATGACGAGTGATGGAGGTGAGACGGGCGACTGAGATGTGTGCGTGTGTGTGTGTGTGTTGGTTGACATGTTGTGCTTCCTTCTTCGCCTCCCTCTTTCCTTGTCTGTTCTGTCCACTCATGAGTCTCTTCTTCCTCTCTTCCTTTCCCTTTTTCGATTGATTTGGACACAGGCCCATGCATTCCGTCTCCATCCAACCGACCGACCAAGCAGCCGAGCGAGCGAGCAAAGGACACGGCGTGGCAAGGGGCCGTTTGTTTTCACCGTTTCCACCAACACCACCAGCAGCAGCAGCTGATGGCTGGCTGCATTGGATGAGCCGGCCCCCCGTCTCTCGTCCATCTCCATCTTCTCCTCCTCCTCATCATTGGTTACCAACAGCAGCGGCTGCTGCCGTGGATGTGGAGGTGAGATAAATGGCGGGGGGGGGGTGGTGGTGGTGACGTGGGTGGTGTGTGATGTGTTGGGTGTGAGCATCAGCATGTAAATGTGTGTGATTGTGAAGTGCTGGTTGGATGTCGTTGGGTCTGTTGGTGCTGGCAATGGGTGTGGCTGTCGTTGACAGCCTGATTCTGAGACAACTCACCTCTTTCTCCACGCGCGCACACGTACAGGGTGTAATGTGCGTCGATGTGCTGTTGCCTCACATGACGCTGGTGGTGGTGAGTGGTTTGTGGTGGATGTACACGGCGCACGCACACGCATGTGCAGATGTGATGCTTGTGGTAGTGGTGGTGGGGGTGTCTGTGTGGGGATGTGACATGTGCATGCACGGGTGGTGATGTGGGTGATGTGAATGTGGCACAAGGAGGTGGATGTGGTTTGTTTCTGCCATACTGGCTCACTGCGTGGTGTTGTTGTTGCTGATTTGGTTCTTTGTGCTTGCGCATGTGTACATGTGTGTGATTTGCACAGCACGGTGGCCGTTCTCTTCCCAAGTCCTCATGACACGAGCAGGGCGATACACGCACACACGAATGTGCCAGAAAAGAAGGCGCAAGGTGAGACGATCGCGCTGTGTGTGTGTGTGTGTGTGTGTGTGTGTGTGTGTGTGTGTGTGTGTGTGTGTGTGTGTGTGTGGTGATGGCGTGGTATGATACATTCGCACGCACATACACACGCACGTACACGCATGTACACATGCATGCCAACACCAGAGCTGACATTGGCTGTGGGGTGGTTGCACTGACGTGTGTCTCACATGAATCAATCACACAACCCAATGTGTGTGTGTGTGTGTGTGTGCAGGCGGACGTTGTGTGGGTTTCCCCAACCGAATCCCCTTCCTTCTTTTCCCAACCAATCGCCTCTGCTCTGTGTCATCATCATCATCAGCCTTCCTCATGTGATGTAGAGCTGTTGAGGCGTGATCGAGACTGCGGCCAACACAGGTATTGCAGCAGTGGTGGATGTGGTGCATGTGGTGATATTTTGTGCCTGCCTGCTGGCTCGCTTGGTTGCTTGCTTGTTGGGTGCTTGCTTCGTTGGTCTTGTGTGTAGGTGACGCACCCCGCCCACATCATGCTGCATATTCCCATGCGTGGTCCCTTGTGGCCCTCCTTTCCTGTCCTCACCATCACCGGTCATTGTTGTTCATCTCTGGTTGGTTTCTTCTTGCCTCACAGGCATTCACGCAGGCAGGCTGCTGCTGCTTGCTGGTGCTGCTGTGATGATGGCCGTGCGCGTGCATGTGCGCTGTGCACCGTGTTTGGGCTGCACCGATGAAGACAAGGAAGGACACGGCCCGTGCCCACCACCCTTCCCCCCTTCATGTCCTCTTTCAGCTCCATCAGCGATGACGATGGTGGCCGTGGCATGTGATTGCGCTTCCCTTTTTCTGGCTTTGCTGTGGCACATTGACTGGCTGGCTGGCTGGCTGCATCAAGCACAGGTGAGGATGATTGTTAGCGGTTGATTGGTTGGTGGGCTGTGTTGTGTGGAGTGGTGGAAACAGGGAAGGGGGAAGTGACACGGTGATGGTGGTGATGGTGGTGGTGCGATGTGGGAGTGCAGAACCAAAGGAGGGAGGGGAAACGAAGTGATAGGAGGGCGATGATGTTGGTTGGGGGATGGGATGGGGGTGCGTGTGCACATGCACGTGAAATCGTGTGGTGGTGGTATCACATGGCAATGAGACACATATCAGCGGCTCATTCCTTTTGCTTGCACCTGTGTGATTGTGATTGTGTGATTGTGATGAAGACTGCAGCAGGCAACACACGGCGGTGATGCTGGATTGGATTGGCTGGTGTTGACTGGCCATCGTGTCGTGTCACCCATTTTTCTCCCTCCCCTTGCTCATCTCAACCGGGGACACACACAGCGATGTGTGTGCATGTGTGCGTGTGTGCATGTGTGTGCATCGCCATCAATCACGCCGACAGCGACACGATGCACGAGGTGAGGGCACGCAATGGTGTGTGTGTGTGTGTTTGGTGGAAGGGGTTCGGGGGGAACTGGGAGGAAGGCGTTCATCATGGCCATTATCACCACCACGGCTGTGTATCTGGTCATGTGACCGTGCATTTGGGGGATGGAGATGAGGGGAGAGATGATGTCGTTGTGGTGGTTGTGGTGGTTGTGGTTGCATTGCTGTGTATGCGTGTGCGTGGTGCGCTGTCTCACTCTGCAATGCCATGTGTGACTGTGTGTGTGACTGCAGATGTGCGTGCGCGTGTGCGCATTTGCCAGGCAGATGCGTTGATCGACGACGAGGTGTGTGTGTGTGTGTGATTGTGGTTGACCTTTGTGTGCTTGTGCCCTCACACAACGCACAACACCAAGCACATCATCATCATTCCACCTCGTGTGTAGTTATTGTCCACTCATGCATGGCATGCTCACATCCACCCCCTTCCCTTGCTTCTTCTCCTTCTTCCTCTCCTGCTGCTGCCACCCCTTCCACTGTTTCCCTCCAACCCTCTTTTCACACACGCAGAGAGAGGAACCCATCCACGTCCAACACCCATGCCCACATCCACGCATGACACGCCATGGCGAGCTGTGCCACCTCAACCAACTCAACCCAACCCAGGCCAAGCCAAGGAAGAGGGGAAGCAAGGACAGAAGACGTTGGGCTCCCAACAGATGTGTGTGCGTGTGTGTTGAAGGACGGTGTTCTCCGTTCCCCCTCCATCACCTCGCTTCGTTCTTCCATGGCGATCTGGCTGGGCGGCTGTTGCCCCCCTCCCCTTGTTTGTTTTCTCTTCCAGCCTTTTGTGGCTGTTGGTTGTCTGTTGTGACTGTGAGAAGGAGGAGGAGGGAGAGGAAGCGAAGAAGAGAGAAGAGGAGAGAGAGGAGAGGGTGCGCATGCTGTCCACAACTGTGTGTGTGTGTGTTTGGTTGTTTCTTCTTTTCCATCCCCCTTTCCATCTCCCCTTCTCTTCTTCCCTCCTCAGCCTGCAAGGCCTGTGAACCTGCGTTGCATTCACACACACAGTGCTGTTCCCCCTTCTCCTTCTTCTTGTCTCATTGAAACCAACCAACCAACCAACCAACCAAAGCAAGCAAGCAAGTCCGCCCTTCAACAAGCAAACGCAGAAAGCAAAAGCAGTTGCCGCACAAACGCAGCAGCGGTGCGATTATTTGTGGCATCTTCCACAAATCGCCCAAACACGAATCAACAATACCAACACACAAACAACAACAAGCGACAATCGAAACGCGAATCAAGGTGCGTGTGCGTGTGTGTGTTTGAGTGGGAGGTGGTGGGTTGCGTTGTTCGTGTGCGTGGCTGGCGCAGGATTGGTGGAGAGGAGGGAGAGGGTACGCGTTGTGACGGGCACTCACTGGCGGTCCTGTTGTGGGTGGTCTCGTTTGGTTCCATGGACTGTGTGGGGTGTGGTGGGTGATGGTGTAATGGTGAACAGGTGCAAGCAGAGAACACGCACAACAGCGCCCACACCATGGATGTGTGCAGGGCCAAAGGTATGCAAGGCGTTGCCCACGGTCGGTGAGGCTCACATATGTGCTGCACAGGCCCATGGCACGCTGGCACCGTGAGTTTGGGTGAGTTCTATCAATTGGTTTGACTGCTGTGTGGGTGCGTGTATGGGTGTGAAGGATGGAGAGGTGGGACGTGGCTGCGGTGGGTGCTGTGATCTCACACGCACTCCTGCTGCTGTGGATGCATTTGGCTCACACGCACAGAAAGGGAGGATGGGTTGCATCGACCCACACACATGAGTGTGAAAACACACACACACACACACACGCTGACAGGCAGTCTGATGCCATCTCACGGTGCGTTGCACTTGCATGTGCGTGACTGTGCGTGACTGTGACTGTGTGTATGTCGTTCATGCTGTGTCTGCTTGTGATTCGCACTGTGTGTGTGTGTGGTGACTGCCTGCTTCCCCCTGTCTCACACACATGTGTATGTATGGATGCTGACACACACGCAGACACACACACACAGTGGGTGTGCGTGCAGACACACATCCCCACACAGCCAGGCAAGGCAGGCACCGCATACTCTTCTTTCTCTTTCTTCTCTCCCTCTCCCTCTCCTGCTGCCACTACCGCTGCTGCATGGATAGACCAGTGGATGCAAGGCGTGTGGATGATGCTGCCTGGCTGATGTCCTTCCGTTGGTACGTGTGTGTGTGTGTGTGTGTTGCGCCACTGCTGCTGCTCTTGTTTCCCCTGTTTGTGTCTGTTGTGTCTGTTGTGCGTTGCTGCTTCTGTGTGTGTGTATGTGCGTGTGTGTGTGTGTGTGTGTGTGTGTGTTCACCACAACCACGTCGTGTGCGCCCATAACCATCGTCTGTGCTCACGTACCCATCTCTCCCTTGCTTCTTCTTCTGCTCCCTTCCCTCTTCCCTCTTTGTCATCCCCACACACGCACATGCACACACAACCATGGACGCTTGTGCAGGCTGTTTGTTGGAACACAAGGCAAGGCACGCACAACCAAGCAAGGACACACGAGCAAGCATGGACACAGGACAAGCAAGCAAGACGTGGGGCTGCCATAGACCACGCATCTCGTTGGAGAAGGAGGGGAGCGTGAGCGGGTGGTGTTGATTGTGTTGTGTATGTGTTGTTGTGTCGTGTTGTTGTTGACAGCGTGCAAGTCTCTCTCCTTGTATCCTTCTGCCTTCCTCCCTCTCTTTCCCTTCTCTCTCTCTCTCTTGTCTCCTACCACAGCATGCACACTGCTGCTGCTGTTGTTGTTGTTGGCTGAAGTGGTGATGGCGGCTGATGGGGGGAGTGAAGCCGTGTGGCGCAGCATGGAGCTGTCGCTTGTTGTGTGTTTGGTGTGTTGCTTGCAGTTGATATGGGGATGCTTTCTCGCTTGTTCTTGCCACGTGTGTCTGTGTGTGTGTGTGTGTTTGCTTGCTGTCGTGTTGCTGATGTGAAGTGGAAACATACAATGCAACACGCATGTGCAACGGTGTGTATCGTGTGATACTGGTGCTGGTGGATGGGTGTTGGTGGTTGCAGTGAAGTCAACACGGTGTGTGTTGTTGTGACTTGGATTGGATTGGTGGTGAGCTGGGCGTGTGGCTGTGGAGTGGGTGTTGCATGCAGGTGAGGACAGCAGCTGCTGTGAACGTGGGAGTGGGGAAAAGGATGAAGCGTGATGATGGCAGCGACTGGTGGTGGTGGTGTATGTGAACAGGGCTGATGGTGAGGAAGGCGGCAGTGTGGGCTTGATGGGTTTATGATGTGTTGCAACACATGCAGCATGAAACATGAACAAGGCAGAAGCGGGGAGGGGAAGGGAAAGTCAGGGGAAGGAGTGGCGGCACAAAGTAGTGAACAGGGACAAGGTCAGGCATGCAAGCACATGGAAACAACAACAGCAGTGGCAAGAATTGAAACAAGACAGGAGGGGTGGTGGAGCGCAGGTGAAATGGACAAACAAGGCTTGTGGTGACAAGGTTGTAAAAGAAGGGATGAAGGGAAGCACAAATGCACACAGTGGGTTGGTTGTGGTCCTGTGTTGTGTGAAGTGAAATGAAGTGAAGGATGTGTGATCTTGTGTGGAG